TGTGGGGCTCGCACAGTCCATTTAGAGCAGGAACCAAATCTGTCTGAGTTTGCTGCCTCGTCCCCGCGCACTTGTGCTGCTGTCTGCGAGCACGGGCGGCCWCCGCGGTTCGAGCTGCTGGTTGCTTCCCACACGGGCCGAAGGGAGAGGCCCATCTACCTGTGGAGATCTGACCGCACCGTAGCAGACACTTTGACAGCAAACATGACACAAGGGTGTTTAAATAGTATCAGAAGACTGGAGACATCAGGCAGGCAGGTCTAGTTTAAGGGGTTGAAGACATTAATTCAGGTCACTCTTCCTTTTTCTTTCTTTTTTTTTTTTTTTTTCTCTTTTCTGCCAGTGTGCTGTGTTTCAAAAATGTGTATTTTGTCCTGAGAGCCTTAAGCACCTTTCATGTCCATCCTTTCTGATGGCTGTGCTCTGAACATGGCACCAAGCAAACACACTCAGTGACCCTCATTCTGCTGTGACCTGTCAGACTCGAGATCTCTTTGGAGAAAGTCTGCTATGTGTTAGCAAGTACCTGTTCAAACACAGATGCTGCCTGTGTCAAGGAGGGTTTTTTTGCTTGGAAAGCCAGATAAATATTGATCCTTATTGAGCCTGGAGAGCCAGCTTGAGTAGCACAGTGACGTGCGATGGCTGCTGCAAAGGGTCCCACCACACAGGAAYTGAGCCTCCTAAAAGGCCTCTTATTTACCTACTGATTGGGCAAAGCTTGACATGCATCTAATCCCCCGGCCAGCGTGGTCATGGGGGGTTGGCTTTAACCAATTTCTCATTAAAAGTGTTTGCGGATGAGCGCTTTATTTACCCCGCATTAATTATAAAGGGCTTTACTCTAGCRAGGAGCAAAAGTTTCCTGTCTGCTTTAGCTAAACCCTTGCTGGGACTTAGCTTTCCTCAGAAGGTCCATAATAAAGTTATTATAATGACAGTCTTTGTGATGAGATCCTGAGCAGATGTGGGCAGGAAGGGTGGAAGAATTTCCACTGCTGCTGCGCCGATTGTCACAGGTTTATGGTCCTCTGTTGCCATTCCTCTGGCTGGAGACTTGCCAATTGCCAGCCAAGGTCTGGGCCCAGAAGTCATTAGTTTAAACCCCAGCGTAATCATTTTTAAGTTATACATGTGTAAAGTAAAAGCAGAAGGATATTGGCCAACGTTAAGAGGCTTTCTGACATTTGTGTCAGAAAGGGCTCCATGTTAACGGGTGCCATGCAGCTSGTAACAGAGGATTGCAGCTCTACATTTTCATGTTTGTCCATAATGAACAATAGTGTGTCTTCCAGAAGCTTAAACAGAGCCAAATGCTAAGTATTTTTTGTCTTTATCTGCTTTTTTGGTTTGAGTAAAACCAAGTCTTTTCCTCCATGTTGTGCCCATTTTGATAAGATTTCTCATGAGGAGAAAAACTTGTTGGGAAATTTTAATTTCAGAGCAACTCTTAAAATGCTTGTTGTAATATCAGTTTCAATATATATATTTATTTAATTTTCTATTATTTGCTACTTTTCTGCATTTCTCTATTGTTAATATTTTATCATGTGTCGTAACAGTCTGTAATTCTATACACATTTGTAATGAAAAAATTTCCAGAACTGCTATTCTTGAGAAAATTTGGTTCATGGGAACACAGATTCCAAGATGTTGACATTTCCCACACAACTCAATGTTCTGGAAATTTTTAGCGATTGCTACCATAGCATGCAGGACTGTTAACACAATATGTGGGAATAGCAGATCAGGTGGTAAGAACATTACACCAGCTTGAGCCTCGTCTCTCTGCAATGACATCAGTTGATTCCTTAACATGGGACATTTGAGACTGACTCACTTTTCTCGCTTTGTCAAACTTGTTTGCTGCTCTTTAAAGTTCATTTTTAACTTATAAACATATGTTTCCTTTAAAATTCAATAAACTCCAGATCCAATAGCCAAGAGCTGACACACAGAAATAAAACACTAATTTGATGCATCGATTGTATAAATCTATATCAAGTCCAGCTTTTCCAAAAGAGCTGCAATGACATCACGCCCAGATAAAAAACAGTTGCTGCTTTCCGTGTGACTGAGGCGTCCAGGGCAGCGTTGGGGTTCAGGTGGMTTCACATGAAAGAAGTGAGTCAGTCACCTGAGAGGGAGACGTTCTTGTGCCGAAGGTTATTTGGTCATGGATAACACATGCGTTTTAGGGACGGTCTGGAAACCAGAGCTGCCTTTGTACCCTGTATACCCGTTCGTTCTTACCACAGCACGTCACCTTGGAGTGCTTTAAGACCTTTAGATATTACTGCRGAATAACATCCCTTAGTAGTGCAGAAAGAGGGGAAAGCATCAAAAGGCCTCCTTMAAGGACCTCCTAAATTCAAGTAGCGCCAGCTATTCTGCATTGCTTTACCCTGGTRCACTTGTTAGGCTGCAGACTGATTGCTCCTCGTGCTTCATTCCGGGAAGGATGTTTTTAGTTAGGATGCTGTGACCGTGTGAGCCCAGGGCGAGTGAGTGGGTGACGCTGGCCTCTGGCTGGAGCTCAGTGTGTCTCGCACTGGGGGCTCAGTCCGGGCTTTATTCCCTGTGGATTTACATAAGGGTTTGGTATTCAGCTCTGCAGCTGCCCAGCGATCCTCAGGGTAGAGCTGTGTTCTAGGCTGGTGCCCTSTCTGCAATGAAAAGCCTGTGAAAGCCCGATTAGTGCCAAACTATACTTAAGGGAAATCTTTACCTTCCGCTGTGATATTGTAAATTATTGAAGGCTGCAGAGAAAATTACAACACAGTCCTTCTAAAAATACCTTCCTGTGTCATAGTCATGGAGAGCCTCAAAAGGTTTTTTGAGGGGGACTGGGAGATTAATTTCCATTAAAGATGCAATTTCCTTATTTTTAAAAAAATATATYTTAAACGCTCTAAAAGCTAAGTTAAAAGTAAAGGGGAATCATATGAATTCCGGGCCACATGCTTGCCACAAAACTTGGTAGACTTTCATTTTTCTAAAATAAGCAGGCAAAGGGTGGATTAGGCCCCAGTGACAACATGTTAGACCTTTGTTTGCTCCAGCTGTGGTGCACACAGAGCTTCCTGCCTGGAAAGCACTGGGGTCAATGACCAGCCTGCAAACAGGGAGGTCACCTATGGCCAGTGAATCCTCCTGTGAGACCTTAATGAGTGTTAATGAGCAGGAGGGGCAGAGCAGGGGYACTGAGGCAGCTGCGTTGGGTGCTGTGAGCACACATCAGGGTGCCTGCAGGATGCTCTCTGGGGCCTCCTCTGTGATATAAAAYGGTTCGATGCTCCTGGACAATGTTTCGTGGAGAATTGTTTCCCTCTTTTGCATATAGGTCCATTGGATGCTCCAAAGCCCAAGTGTCATCTAAGGCAAGCAGGATGTCCTCCATCTCCCTGCTCGGCCTCCACCGCTCCCCCTCACGCTTTACACCATTTCATTTTACAGATTCACAGAATATTCAAGGTTGGAAGGGACCTCTACAGATCATCTAGTCCAACCTTCCTGCTCAAGCAGGCACACCTAGAGCATGTGGCACAGGGTGGCATCCAGGCGGGTTTKGAAGACCTCCAGAGWAGGAGACTCCACAACCTCCCTGGGCAGCCTGTTCCACTGCTCTGTCACCCTAACAGTAAAGAAGTTGCTCCTCACCTGGAGACGGAACTTCTTGTGTTTCAGCTTGTGGCCATTACCCCTCGTCCTATCGCTGGCCACCAGTGAGAACAGCCTGTCCCCTTCCTCCCTGCATTCTCCCTTCCTGAACTTATACATATTAATCATATCCCCTCTGAGCCGTCTCTTCTCCAGAGAAAACAGGCCCAGCTCACTCAGCCTCTCTTCATACGAGAGATGTTCCATTTTAAAGGATGGTGAAAGATGTGAAAGAGGATATGTGCAGTGCAATGTAAAGCCCTCCAGTCTGTCAGCATTCCTCAAAAAAAAAAAAAAAAAAAAAAAAAAATCCCTCAAGAAAGTAGATCTGTGAAATCTAGGAGTGCAGAGTACCAAATATTGTAACTTGAGAATTGGGAAAAAAAAAAAATCAATATCTTCAAAATTAGAGGTTGGCTTCAATAGGCAGGGAGAAGTGTAGGTTGCTCTCCAAGGTTACATTAACTGAAGTTTTCCCTGAGAATGGCAACATTTGACATGGTGGGTGCAGGCTGTGAACCAGGGTCCATAATTCTGCAAAATTGAAGAGGAAATTTGAAGAGATTCAAAATACTTKGTATTTTGATAGCACTTCTTCCATTCAGATGCCATCTAGACATTAATAAAGAGCCCTCTTGACATTCTTATTAGAGCATAACTGGCTGGCAAATGGCTTTTCCAATTTGTTGAGGTTTTGGGAAGCAGTAAAAGAAATTTTGTTCCACATTATAACAAAAAAGCAGAATTGTTTTGGGTCATTTGAAACATTTTTAATATATTCAAAGCACTTCATTCAGACTTCAACCCCTTATATTTTTAATAGAAGGTAGAGTCTATTTTGAAGTGTAATTTTGCAGCAAGAAACTGAACTCAGTTTGGAATATGGAAACAGACCACTTCAATCTTAAAAAAAGTTTCCCTGAATTTTTCCAGTAAAGAAATATTTTCACAATGACTATAATTTTATTTTTAATCCATTTAATTAAAACAAGATTTTTTTTTTTTTTCAAAAGAAAACTGCACATATGGTTGATACCTTGTGTCAGCTCTGCCCCTTTCTCATCTTCCCTGGTTGTTCCCATATGTAGCAATATAATTCACAACAGCAGCTAAGCTTATTCCCTTGTTTTTCCTTTTTTTATTTATTGTTTTCCCCGGGGAATCATCCTGCTTACCCATTAATCAGGGCTCCCTAGATTTCCCTTATGCCAGGGCCATTGGTCTGCAGCTGGTGGAATTCTCTCTCTCGCTTTGGCATTTTATACGATAAAAGTTTAGCGAAGACTGATGCAGTTCCAGAGAAAGTTTTGATTTTAACAAAGCTGAACATTTTGACAAAATCATTCCTGCCCAGTTGTACCTGCATCTTACCTCAGGTGGGTCTTGAGCAAACACACACACAAACAACACATGTTAAGGTGAAACACATAAGGAGAAAAGAGATTAATATTAGGATTTCAAACTGAGGGTGGAGAGACACGTTCAGAACCACGTAGTCCTTAAGATTTCCACTTCTCTGCCTGTGTGTTTCTGTGCTGTCATGTTCAATCAGAGAAATCACTCGGGTAGATCAAATTTATGAAGTTGCTCCATGATGGGTCTGCATTGTAAATAAAGGCAAATTAGCTGGCAATATGTTAGCACATATTTCACTCGTGTCACAGTGTAATAATGAACCTTGTATCAAAGTCTGCAACACCATCTGAGTTTTATACGCCCCATTTCCTACATGTTTTGAACAGTGGAACCAATTTATAACGTAATGATTTTTCCATACATAATTTCTTTCTTATGATTTCCATAACTCGGAGTTTTTATTATGGCTAGGGCTGAAGGCAGCCTCGTAAAGGATATGAAAAGAGGGCTGGCTAAAGTGTCTCATAAAAGAATAGCTTGAGCCATTTGCTGGTTGCTCTCCGTGGGTTTGATAGTGCCTTGGATGCTGCAGCATGCAGGGAGGCAGCGACCTGCATTCCCAGCCCCATTCCCACTGCAAGGCCAGGCACAGAGGCACTGCTGCCCTTCACGCTCGGCAGGGCCAGGGCCTCCAAAGCAGGAACAGGAGGGCCAGAAGCAACCGTGGAGCCTGGCTGCCCTCATTCATTCACCGGCCAGAGGGGAGGAATAGAAATTTGCTCCCGGTTTAAGCCAATCTACGAGCGTGTTGATGAGGTGGTTGGAAATGCTCGGGATGGAGCCAGCAGCGCAAGTGCCCAGGTCTCGAGCTGAACTCTGGCTCCTGTCAAAGACATAAGTGAGCTATAAAAGCAAGCTGAATATTAGAAGGGGGCTGGATATGTTGTTTGTCAAGTCGCTTCACATGCCATTAATATAGAAACCAGCTTATTTTAACCATACTGGAAAAAGGCATGAGCCAGGTGAAGAGGAGGGCATACCTGTTCCAGGTGAGCGGCAATGCTCTCCGCAGTACAGAACCAGCCATGGGAAGCTCTCCAGCTTCCAGCTGAGCTGCAGCTAAATTAGCTCCCCTGCCTAAAGAAGGTAGATTTGTGTCAGCTGGCCTCAGGATACTCACAAACCGAGGGCGAACAGGGAGCTTTCTGCACTCACTGCTTTATCCTTCCTCATAGCTGTGCTGAAAGAAAGATGCCTTGGTGCCCTATAGGGGCAGACCATACTAGGGCTGTTTTATACCCCCCCCCCCTTTTTTTTTTTTTTTTTTTTTCCTGGAAGGGGAAGAGGCAGGAGAACAGGGGCACCTGGCTTAAGAAACACCCATTTCGTAAGTCTGTTATGTTAACTCCTTTGATCTTTGTATTTCTTACCTCTTCTGGATCAGTTCCACCATGGGCCCAAGGTTAGATTTTCTTCCCTGAGGTTGTAGAGCTGTTTTTTTTTTTTCTTGCCCTCTTTTTCCTTTCCTTGTTTAGTAAGCTTCCTTGCATATATAATTGAGATTAAAAATATATATATATAATATAAAAGGCACTTGTTTCTTCCTCTGCACAACTGCTCAGGTACTGGTCACCATAGATCAATGTGTGTCCTGCCAGAACCACGGTCTCATTTTGTCACAAGGGGAAGCTGAGATTCCATTTCACACCTCAGATGATGCGCCCTTTGCCCACACTAATAAGTATCACCAAAGGCAAAATAACTGGAGGGCAAACCAGAGCATATCAAGTGTTGCTTCCTATTACTTTCACCATTTCTGTTTTCTGTAGAGTTTCCCCCTTTCAAAATGGGAAAAACTGGAGACCTTCATCTAGTTTCTAGCTTTAACTTGCTTATGTAATTAGGGAGAAATAATACGATGATAGGAACCACATTTTAGGAATCAATGTCGTCACGTTTTTGACATGTAGTGATTGTTATCTGCCCAAGAAACTGGTGGAACTTCTGTTCCACCCGAGCTAGTCTGAAACTACTGTAGACTTCATTCAATATATGATTAAAAGCAGAATTGCTTTAAAGAAAATATACAGTGTTAAGTAACCTCTGCTGTGCTTGATATTGATGTGGGTAGGGTGGCTGTATGAAACAAGCGTTCCTCCTAATCAGTAGCTCTCCTGGCTGCTAATCGTGTTGTTTTCTTAGAAATGTATTAATATAATCAATGTATTTAATGTAATTAATGTATATAATATATTTTTAGTCCAGGAAATTCAATATTATAGGTTCATACTACAGGACTTTTCCCTCACTTGGTTAAAAAACATGAATCATTTTCCTCTTTCAAAACCTCTCATGCACTCAGCTCAAAATACCCATTTAATGTGACTTTATATGTTAATAAATCACTCATGATGATTAATCACTAGCTCCATTTGCCTGCAAGACACTGAAGAAAGCAGATAGATCAGTACAGTCCTGTGTCTATTCACCACATATTTACCTTGATGCTCCCAGACAGGAGCTGTAGGCAGGTTCAAGCTCAGCTGCCCCGGCCAAAGTCTCTTCTCACTCAAACACAGGGCACCTCAGGAGCCTCCGGGCTGCAGTGCCAGGCTATAAACTTCTCACACAACAACTGTGGTGTTTCCTGGGGTGCAGCACACTGCTAGGTGTAACACAGGCAGTGATAACTTGCTGGCTGATGATTGCTAAAATGAGGGTGTATCTGCTTTGGGATTGACCACAGCTGTGACTGTTTTGCAGGGTGAAAATATAAACCACTGAGCATCAAGGGTGAAAGCTTGGCCTCATAGTGTTTATACTCACAGAGGTGTCTGGAAGTTTTTCTGTAATTTAGACATAAAGTTAGGAAACAGAGGGATTGCATCTCACCTGACTTTAGCTGCTCAGGACATAAAGTAATTGAAAGAGCTTCCTCAGGAGGCTGTGAAGAGGAGGGCATGTGTATAGTCCATGAGTTTTAGACACACTGAGGAGGCATTTGCTTTTTGCTGAATATTGGTGCGGCCTGCATAGCTTATCTAGTGCCTCTGTGTTGTGCTTATGTGGACCTTGCAACACTCATCCATAATTCTCATCTGACAGTCTGGACAAACCTAGAGCTCCTAAGTCTGCAGACTTACCTTCTATATGGTAGGAAAAATGTGGGGATTTGTGTTTCCCAGGCTAGCCATGTGTATCCTGAGCCCTGGCTGTAACAGCCCAGTCAGCATCAAATGTGACTTAACCTGTTAGTGGCTCTTTGCCTTCTCTTATGCTGCAATTAATGCATCTTGGCCATAAGTTTTGAACAAGAGCATGTAGTCTGGCCTTAAACTCTACCTTTGCCATTAAAATAACAGTCTGAACTTTTTAGTTTTGGGTAATTGATGTTTTTGGTTTTTTGTTTTTGGAGATGTTGAGCACCCTCATTTACCCTTAATCTCTGGAGACTCAGGCTGTAATTACAGCCACAGTTGCTGGTGCCTCCACAATTGTGTCCCTCAGCTCTGAAAGATGAAGGTGCAAATTCATTGAGTCACTTTTCAGTGCTTAACTATTTCCCTTGATATCATAATTCCCTCGCTTTTACCCTGTGCTATTCAGTTTTGCTGTACACGAGATTTATACATGGGAAATGGAGAATATGACTTTTGTTTTGCCTGTGTGTATGTGTAATGTCCTTAATATGAAACTAGTTGCCACTTAATTATACGGGCTAAAGACCCCCATTCAGTGTGTTGTATACAATTTATGAGTCCCCATTCTCCCAGACGCACATTTCAGCCATGTAGCAACACCCAGGTGACTAACATTCCTTTTTAATTTAATTTCCTTACATAAATAGCTTCATTAAGCATCAGTTATTTGGGCAGAGAAAGTAGTATTTGAATAAGCTAGACCAAGTTACTGAATTTAGTGCCCTGCTACTGTTTTGAGGTTGTTTACAGCAGCCCCAGACCTCAGTGTCAGCCTCCTGGTTTGATAGTTTGCTTCCACTTTTACATTGGCAATCTCTCTGGTGGAATAGGTGATTTATGGCAGAGTTAATTCAATGTACAATGCAGGAATGGAGTTTTTTATGAGAATAATGCAAAGGGAACATTTTCAAATCATGGTCAAATCGACCCTTTCTCTGGGATATCTGATTTGTTTGCTGTTATCTCTTTGAAAAAAAAGTCACTTCCTTGATTTGCTAGGTAGGTTCCAGTCTTTGATCCTCCAGTTCTGCAAATGGAAATCAATGAGAAGCTGTTGAACTCCTTGAGGAGCTGCTGATGGTCACCTCTGGGCTCTCCTACATGGCTATCCAGGAGGGTAACTGTGGAGTATGCAGGTGTTGAAGATCCTTACGGGCTCATGGGACTCAGAGCCAAGGTCTGTGGCAGAAAAGATGAGGGAGAAGCACTGGGAATTGGCTAAATGGAGAGATGTTTTTTTCTTCCTTGTACCCAGATTTACCGAAGCTTACACTATTGTAGCTGCTGTCAAAATATCTGTCCACTCTGCAAATTCAGATTATGTGGAAATTCCTAAATGATTATCTTCACAATCTTACCTTAAGGTGTTTTTCCCTGATTTCACATTATCTTACCCCTTTTCCATGAGCAGAAATATGTCACATGTCACATTCATATAAAG